AAAGGTTGTTAAGATAGAACTGGAAGCTCTTCGTTGTGATGAAAGATTCCACGAAACCTTCACAAATGTTGAAGTAGAGTTAGAGAAATTCGATGTTGATGGATTTGCAATTCCAAGACCGAAAAAAGTTCCCCGAAGATTGGATGATGGTCCCCTTGCACATGAACACCGATCAGCTGAGAAATACTTCCGGTCCAAATTCGTCAAGATGATCGATAGTGCTCTTCTTCATTTACATGATTACTTCTGCTCAACGGATCTGAAGGCATACGACGCCGTGGGATCAATGCTACTTACTGGATCTTACGACCCGGTTGTCGTAGCCAAATACCCGGAGCTATCTACGTCCATCAAAGAAGAGCTTTCTTTTTTTAGGAAGCAACACCCAGCTATCACAACTGTAAAGGACTTTCAGCTGGTATTTCAGGCAATGGTTCCAGAAGTTAGGCGATTTTGACCTCGACTTTTGAACAGGATTACTCTAGAAGATGCCACAGTGTTCTACTAACCAAACACTAAAGAAGATCTTTTACTCGGAGCGACAGCAAATGCATGCCTATCTTGGAACCAACTGATTGAGCTTAGGTTTCTGGCGGCCTGCAGTGTCTCCTTTGCACTCTACTGTCCCTCACATTCTTTCATCAATCCTCCCAGCTCAGAATTATCGTCTCAGATAACTCTACAAAACACATACAATATAATATATATATATATAAAGAGTAGATAATAGGTAGAAGGTATGACAGCCCGTTTTAACAGGCGTTTTGGCATGTTTTCACTTGAAAATATTTATCCTAATGAATAAATATATTCAAACTTTACCTTGTTTTCGAGGCGTCTACGCATTCTCCTTAATCATATGACACCACCAATTTACCTGAAAATCGTAATGTGTTCTTCAACAAGTTCCTTATGAATACGACACGGTTCACAGTTTTCCCACGCATCTCGCATTAGCGGCTAAAAGCTATTCATCAGAATAGTGTCTATTGTCTCATACGGAATGCTAGGGGCTGCTTGGGATATTCAGGCATAGATTGTATTCAAGCGTGTAGCATCTTCCAGCGTGCTAGAATAAATGTGTGCTCACGGCCGAGCTAGCAGGCTGATTATTAGCTCTGTTGGCCATCAATGTGCCTGATGATAAGGAAGCGAACAAGTGCTGTACTCAGTGCTTCACCATAATACTCCCCAACAGCCCCTCAGCGTCCCGCTAGATTTACAACCGTGGGCTGCGCCGCATATCAAACATTCGCCGAATAGATGCAACCATTGGGAAACTGTGTGAACCCGTGTCATCATCCAAAGAAACTTTTTGAAAGAACAACATATCGATTTTCAGGTAAACTGAGTGTCGATCATATGATTAACGAAGAATCCGGCGACGAAAAACAAAAGGTAAAGTTTGAATATATCTTAATCAATCATATTGATAGATAATTCAAGTTGAAAACTATGGGGCCAAAACGCTTTTAAAACAGTGTCATACTCTCTCCTATTATCTACTCTTCGCATAACTTTATATATATAATATAATATAACAATAAGACAGATGCACGCACCGCATGCATGCATGCACATGTAAAGATACAATATTTCAAAGCATATTGTATCACTTTACACATCACCAGCAGCCATAGATAAGCAACAGGTTCCTATTAGTGGCATGTTTGTTACAACTGACTTTTTCATCAGTCCCGACTTTTTGTCCGTTTTCCCTTTCGAGGTTGGAGGCAGTTTTTATTTCACGATTACTCATCATGGATGGTTTTGGAGGCAGAAGTTTACAGGCCGATGCCCTTCTCCTGACGCCAAGCTCCTTTAGTTCCTTGCCTACGACACGCAGGGAGATACCGTTGGCTATTCTTAAAACCCGGACCTACACAGCGTCACAACTGATATATATAAATATATCTCTATATGAGTAATATGAACAAACATATAGAACATAGAACTGAATATATAAATTTAATCAATACAATGTCGGGTTTTCCGTGCTAACAATTATAAATATGCCTATAGATGAAACATGAAAGATCACTATGGGCTATCTTGCGCAGAAACAATCCATTTCAGATTTGTTGAAAAGCATATGTATAATATGTTCATCTAGCATATATAGAAGCACGTCAATGTGACACATGCCATATGTTTAAACATCATAGACCTGTCCATGCCTCATCACCCAAGAAGATACCTAACTATATATAATATTTGATATAAGGGATGAATTTAATCACAGCGAAGGCAGAACAGATTTCAAAACGAAATGTTGTGTGTAAACCATGCAATAAGTCGATGCAGTGTGCTGGACCAATTTTTTTTTATGGGCCTAGCCGGCTTGTACGTGTTATTATTTGGTCAGATTTGTTTGAATTTGATCAATATTAACTAAAGGGATACACTTACAGTTAGGTCCTTGCATATCTTTGTTAAAATAGGTGTAAATTTACGCTTATAGGGTCCTAGTCCCCCAGGGCTAACTGCCGGAACGTACCCTGGGTACGGTCTGGTATACGCGGAACGTACCCTGGTAACTTCTAGCTGATATGTGTAGGGTTAGGGTAGGTAGGGTTATTAATTCGTTAGTGTTAGGGTTAGGGAGTAGGCATAAGGGCGACTCCCTAACTCGTTAGATGAGTAAGCGAGGTACGGTCCGGCATATTAGATAGTACCAGGGTACGTTCGGCGGTATACCGAACCGCCAACAAGGTACGTTCCGTTTCAGTTACCCTGGGAACATAGACCCTAGCTCTCAGCAGCTACATAAAAAAATTCATTGTTAACATATTTGTTAGAAAGTTTAAACAATACGGCCTCTATTGGTGCTTACAATGACGATGGCGCCAGCTACTAGCACATCTACTTTCAGTTGCGCATCGCAGTTTTTTGCTGCACGGCTACAGACTAAGAATGGTTCTTATTTATTAAAGGCATAATTCGACCCATCGATTATGCAAAGTTGACCGAATGCTACAGTACTGGCATCCTTGTGTAGTTTAATAAGTACATTAACTTAAATATGCCAAACGCGTATTATTTGCTCCAATATCACGCTGGTTACTAAGAAATGTCTAAATTGAAATCCGCAGTGCCAAGAAATCGGTTGTTGACAAGTTACAAACGCGCCATGCCGGGCCGTAACGCCGTCGTAACGCGAGCGCGTGTCATACAGATTATAGTGCACCGGACATTTTCGCACGTATGCTCGGCCTCAGGGATTTCGATCCTTGTAAGTCTAGTGCGCATCCGTAGTTATGGGTTACTCTGGGATTCGGGAATAAATGGAATATACGAAGTTCTTGAGATTACAATAACATATAATATGTGGCAACTAGCAAATAATAACACTAGCAAACAATTACCCGGGACAAACAATTCTATGCTCAACAATGGCTGTAGCAAACCCTGTGCGCGTCCACCGACCCGAAACTCGATGTTTGATGTTGTTAGTAATAAATTTAGCGTTGTCGCCAGATTACCAAATTTTACGATTTCAAATTAGACATTTCTTAGTAATTAGCATGAGATTGGACAAACTAATACGCGTTGGCTATAAAGGTAATGTACCTATTAACTACACAAGGGCGCAGTACTGTACTTCGTCAACTTTGCATAATCGAATGGTCGAATTATGGCCTATTAAATTTAAGAAGAAGAAGCGATTGCAATATCTCATAACAATACTTTTAGATTCTAGTTCATAATATGGACTAAATTTTATCTTAAAATAAAAATTAATTCAGTTAAATAGCAGTTAGGTACAAATATAATTGCAATTGTGATTAAAAGCCCGACCAGGTCTGTAGATGTGTAAAATAAATCGGAAAAAGCGGCAACTTCATCAGGGTGGCAGCACAATCGCGGAGGTATCACATGTCAGGCGGCCATAAAATCAAGATTCGAAACTCACTATTGTT